ATCATAGTGAAAACGTGTTGATAATGGACCCCAGCTCAACAGAGACAATGCAGAGGATTCATAGTAAGACGAGCATCCTGGATGAACCCAACTCTGCTTTAGAGGTTAGTTATCCTGAAAAAAACTATGCTATGTTTCCTGGTTGATTTTAAGCTTTTTTAAATATTTTTTCTTAGAAGCTAAAGATTTTTCCATTCTCTGGCTTAGATAATGATGGCAAAAATTATCATTTCATGTTTTCAAATTAAGATAATAGGATATATATATATATATATATATATATATATATATATATATATATATATATATATANGAGTTCTGCCCACTGATTTTAATGTGCTCTGCCACCAGAGAAAAAAGATCCACAGTTCTTCCCTTTATTTAACATTTCCGCTACATTCATATTGATCCCAATCACAGTTCTCAATCAGCGATCCATTAGCAAGTGTGTGTGGGATTTCTTGTTATCTGTGATGTCTGCTCCTGTAAGATCTGCATAGGGAATGGAAGACTGGTGGTATGTGTCCCTGCGAGGTAACAAGTTTAATTCATTTCAGCATGCATCATAGAGCAACAGTCTGTTGGCGGAGAACTTCAGTATGCAGGTGAAAACATACATGCACTTCAGACAGGAGCATGATCCTCTCCAGGTCAGCAGACACCAGTGGAAACTTCTTACCAAGTTTATATATATTTTCAACATCTCATAATTCCACTGTAAAATACAGAGATCATTGTGGGGGGTAGTGGTACTGTTAAAGGTTGTAATAGATTGCAAGATGCTCTTAATATGTTTATGACACTGCTATTGTAAGAGATGCTGGTGCATCTAAGGGTGCCTGGATAAATCAGAGGGCCACTTGGCTGTGATATATGCAGAAGTAAAGACTGGAATGCTGTATTTACTCTGGGCTGATGTACAGACTGAGGATCTGACTGAGAGTCCAGTAGTAATGCAACTTTTTGATTAACGATCTCAGTTAGATGTCTCTGACTCCTCTGGATCAGGTATGTGATCCAGAGGAGTCCACGAGAGTCCACGAGATGACCCGGAAGCCTTCTGCGTGGATGGTGACTATACTTCTGGCTCTTCTCCTGTGAAGCTGTATCCTTTGGTGTTGCCATGTTGTTGGAGACCAATAAGCATCTAGCTTGAAGGAGCAGTTGTAAGAGATGCATGTGCGTCTAAGTTACGCTAATAGCAGAATCAATCGATAATTTAACCTTCCTCTGTCAGAGGGAATAGACTTTTTTCAGAATGGCTTTGCAGTGTACCCACTGTTGTTTAGTATGAGGATATATCTGATCATTTTCCTGACGTCGCTGTCCATGGTGCTGCAGGAATCTGTTACTTTATTCACAACTTCTATTTTCAAATGTCTTTTTTAAATAAAAAAGCTGTCTCATTCACTTGGAATACAACTGTATAATATTAATTTCAACCAAAAATTGAGTTTAATTAATAAAAGCTTAGACATTTTTATTTGTTTTTGTGTGACTGGCAAAGCTATTAATAACACTTGTAGGTATACGAGTAAAAAAATCGAAACAAAAAAAGATTCTATTTATTGATTTTCAAAAAACTCAATTGTTTCACAGTTCACTTTCTAGAATATACATCAAAAATAAATAACATTCAATGTAAAATATAAGAAAAAAAATAATACTATTTACCGTCCTAATACTATTCAACATGGGGAACATTGCACTGTGATAAAAATTGAATAATGAATTGTTGTATAGCTGTAAAAATAAGTTTATTAACTTATACCTCTTGTTTTAATTGTGGCATCATTGTTTTATTGTTGTCAATAATAAAAGTATGGCTGATTTTGATTCATGTATCTATTTATTCAATCCAAAGATGGCTATGGTGTTAGGAACCTCAGAAATATATTTGGTATTAACAGTCTTAAAGGTGGAAAAAATGTGTATTCTAACAAACATCAGAAAGGATTCTGGTGGGCTATTTAGGTGACTAAAGTGGTAGCTGTTGATGTTGACTCTGCACTGAACGTCTGGCTCTCCTCTAAACTGCAAAAAGGTGCAGACAGGGCTCTGTTTGAAGTGGGCCTACAGAATGGAGAAATAAGAACAATATGCCAGGTGACTGATAAAGATTCAATGAAACAGAGACTAACTGTTATAATGGAGGACAATGGACCGCCTTCTCGTTCAGCTACAGTTATCGTTAACGTGGTGGTGGCAGACAGCTTCCCTGAGGTGCTCTCAGAGTTCAGTGATTTTCCAAATGATAAGGAGTGCAAAGATAACCTAATTGTTTGCTTAGTGTTTACTCTGGCTGTAGTCCCCCACCTCTTCATCACTTGTTTGGTAGTTATTATATAAGTTAACTCTACAGATGGAGACAGTCCCGCATCCTGTATCACTCCAACCTTCCTGTGATTCCTTATTATCCACCATGTTATTCAGACACTTAGGGGACTCTGCCACACGTTTACAATTATGAGGTGTGTAGGAGAAATGACTCAAGAAAAAGTGATAAATGTGGAAGAGATGATAGTCAAAGCATGCTGATAATGGACCCCAGCTCAACAGAGACAATGTAGAGGATACATAGTGAGAAGAGCATCCTGGATGAACCCGACTCTCATTTAGAGGTTGGTCATCCTGAAAAAATTATGAAATGTTTGTTGGATGATTTTAAGCTTTTTTTATATATATATTTCTGATTAGAAGTTAAAGGTTTTTCATTCTCTAGTTTAGATAATGATGGCAAAAAATAATTATTTCATGTTTTCAACTTAGAAATAGGACGTATATATATATATATATATATATATATATGGGAAAACTATACTAACTTTCTAACCTTATCCCTAAATGTAAAATCAGGCAGTATTTTTTCTTTTTTTTTTTTTATCATATCATGATGAAATTATATTTGTCCTTTTGCTCTATGACTGCCAACCGTGAAGCATAATAGAGGACAATAACATATCTGTTTTAGTAGCTTAAAGTAGGGTTATTCATGTTACTGATAGGCATATAAGTGTTTTTAAACCTTCTATATTATTTATCATTGACACTCCTGCTATTTCAATTTTAGACTCTGGGGGCCACTGTTAGTCTTCATAGAAATTTCAAG